TCGATTCCCGATGATGTAAGTGGCTGGTTAACCGTTCCTTCAGTCCGTCCTCATATCCCAGCTCTTTGGCCTCGTATCCCAGCTCCTTGTTCTCCTATCCCAGCTTCTTGTCCTCATATTCCAACCATTGTCCTCACATCCCATCTCATTGTCCTCATAATGTCTTCATTGTTCTCATAATCTCTTCATTGTCCTCATAATGTCCTCATTGTCCTCAGCCCGTTGTCGGACGTTGATCCCAACTCCCTCTTCTTATATCCCAGCTCCTTGTCCTTATATCCCACCTTCTTGTCCTTATATCCCACCTCCTTTTCCTTATATCCCACCTTCTTGTCCTTATATCCCACCTCCTTGTCCTTATATCCCAGCTCCTTGTCCTTATATCCCAGCTCCTTGTCCTTATATCCCACCTCCTTGTCCTTATATCCCAGCTCCTTGTCCTTATATCCCACCTCCTTGTCCTTATATCCCAGCTCCTTGTCCTTATATCCCACCTTGTCCTTATATTCCACCTCCTTGTCCTTATATCCCAGCTCCTTGTCCTTATATCCCACCTCCTTGTCCTTATATCCCAGCTCCTTGTCCTTATATCCCACCTCCTTGTCCTTATATCCCAGCTCCTTGTCCTTATATCCCACCTCCTTGTCCTTATATCCCAGCTCCTTGTCCTTATATCCCACCTCCTTGTCCTTATATCCCAGCTCCTTGTCCTTATATCCCACCTCCTTGTCCTCGTATCCCCTCCAAGAGCTATGTAGTCGTGCTGGCTTAGTGCTTTCTCCTGATAATTACTTTATGTTGTGAATGGCAGGGGGGGAAAGGGAAGAAAGATTGGGAAGAGGGAGGGTTGGAAATAAAAGATAGTTGGGAAAGACTGAAAAACAGGGGGAACGTGGTGGTGGTGATGGGAGCACTGGTGGTGGTGGTGGTGGTGGTGATGGTGGGAGCACTGGTGGTGGTGGTGGTGGTGGTGATGGGAGCACTGGTGGTGGTGGTGGTGGTGGTGGTGGGAGCACTGGTGGTGGTGGTGGTGGTGGTGATGGGAGCACTGGTGGTGGTGGTGGTGGTGGTGGTGGTGGGAGCACTGGTGGTGGTGGTGGTGGTGGTGGTGGTGGTGGTGATGGGAGCACTGGTGGTGGTGTTGGTGGTGGTGATGGGAGCACTGGTGGTGGTGGTAGTGGTGATGGGAGCACTGGTGGTGGTGGTAGTGGTGGTAGTGATGGTAGGAGTAATGTTGGTAGTGGTGGCTCTGGAGATGATGATAACGCTGGTAGGGATAAAAACAATAATAATAATAATAATATTCCAACCAACAATGTTATAGATAACATTAACAACTCTAGCAGATGAAGCAATATAAAATGCTGAGCCAATTAACCAAAACAAGAATATTTACGTAACATTGCTGGCAATAATAACAAATAGCCTTAGCAACAGAGCCCGGCCTCTGAAACAGTCATTACCATGTAAACCGCTCCCCCCCCCCCACCCCCACACTCAAACTACCCGGATAGTTATCTAGATATTTGTGGTGGTCTAAAAGCATATATATATATATATATATTACGGCTCCAGTAATAGTCTTCATGTTAACTGGCAAGTGAACCTTTGTCGTGAACAGAGGTTATTCGCAAGTTTTAACTTTATTGTATCATAAATAGTTGGTTTAAAATATAAAAAAGTATATGTTGAAAACGTTTTCTTTGAAGTATTTGGTTATCTGTAAACGGAATTCTTGGAACATTCTAAACGTTTTTATAATTCCATATATGACATTATCGTCAATATTAATGTAATGACACCTACTAATCTAAGCCTTAATCTAAAGTAACCTAAACCTAACCTAACCATGGATAGAGAGTAGATAATAGCACTATTTAGCCATTTTCAATCCATTCCCGTGAGGGGACTTCCTCCCTGAGGAGAGGTAGCAGCTGTAACAGCAGACTTAACAACAACAACATTAGCCATATTAACTATAACGCCAACCACATTAACACTAATAAGAATAATAATGTTAATAATAAGAAGAAGAAATAGCATAAACTGAAATAACACTTGATAATATTAACTGTGACCGGCGCGACAGCCACGTTCTGCGAGACCATCAACCCCAATCCCGCCTCGGTAAAACTTCTCACTTGAAAATACAAAACCATTTAACGTGATATCTCAAAACTCTTTCTGATCCTTCTTGATCATTTATTCAGAATTGGAAGCGATATTGTTTTTAAGGAGTTTTTGCGCCGAGACATTGACTGTGGGGCTTCTTTAAAGTCGCATTTGTTAACTATTGTCAACGGTTGGGAGGAAGGTGTGTTTGTGTTGGAGGCTTGAAGTGTGGTGTGTAGTTTGTGGTGTGTGTAGTGTGTAGAGTTGGTGTGGTGTGTGGTGTGTGCTTGGTGTAGTGTGTGGTATGTGGTTGGTGTAGTGTGTAGAGTTGGTGTGGTGTGTGGTGTGTGGTTGGTGTAGTGTGTAGAGTTGGTGTGGTGTGTGGTGTGTGGTTGGTGTAGTGTGTAGAGTTGGTGTGGTGTGTGTTGTGTGCTTGGTGTAGTGTGTAGAGTTGGTGTGGTGTGTGGTTGGTGTAGTGTGTATAGTTGGTGTGGTGTGTGGTTAGTAGTGTAGTGTGGTGTGTGTGTAGGTTGGCGGTGATGTGTGGTTGGTTGTGTGCCGTGTCTGGATGGCGTATTTGGTGAGGTTATTGACAACTGTTTGGCAAGTGTCCTATAGAGGCTCCAGAGTCCAGCCCTCATGTTCCCCATGAGGAAGGTGGAGGGAGGGAGGGAATGTGAGGGACAGTGGCAGGAAGAGAGGAATGAGAGAGATGTGAGAGAAGAAGATAGGAGAGCGAGGGAAAAGGAAGGAATCAACGTGAGGGGAAGACAGGAGAAAATGTGAAAACAAGGGTTAGTGGAAGTACCAGGAAATGGGGTTTAAAGTGAAAATGATAGGAAGAGGGGAAAGGGGCTAGGGGGGGGGAAGAGAGGGGAAAGGAGGTTGATGGGAAAATGAGCTAGCATATTCAAGTGAACATGGTGGAGGAGAAGGGATAACAATGACTGAGCCCAGTAGGTTCTCCTACACAACAAGACTGATGCTGATGACTGATGCAAGACTGATGCTAGTCTGCCTAAGACTTGCTCTGTCTTAGAGGTTGCTTAGTTCTAGCAGCACTAAATCCCATGTAGTCTACTAAATAACTAATAAAAAATCATAAAAAATTAACAAATATCTCTTTATTGACAATTTAATTAATTGCTAGGCATCTAACAAATATTTTCCGTAAATAAATCTATATCTTAAAACATAAAAATAGACTATCTTCTTGAGGTTATCTTGAGACGATTTCGGGGCTTTAGTGTCCCCGCGGCCCGGTCCTCGACCAGGCCTCCACCCCCAGGAAGCAGCCCGTGACAGCTGACTAACACCCAGGTATCTATTTTACTGCTAGGTAACAGGGGGATAGGGTGAAAGAAACACTGCCCATTGTTTCTCGCCGGCGCCCGGGATCGAACCCGGGACCATAGGATCACAAGTCCAGCGTGCTGTCCGCTTGGCCGACCGACTAAACCACAACATTGTCATCAATAGATCAATCAATATCGTCAAAAAACTGTCATGTACATATATACGACGCAGACATGTTCAGAATAATGGAACTTTCCTTAAAGTTTGATGTATGGCTATATCTCTCTATCTATATTTTCGTATGGTAATCTCCCTGGACATATTCCAGAGCCCGTCTCCCTGTAACCTGACCCGGGGCCGGTGACCGCCGACCTCTCCACTAACATGTTCCCTCATCAGTATCTTGTGTCTTTTTGAAGGGGGAGAGGGGGAGATTATCCCTTTTCCTTCTCTCATCTCCCCCCTCACACTCCCTCATCTCCCCCTCCCCACTCCCTCATCTCCCCCTCCCACATTTTGTAACTAGCTCATCAAGATTGTAACTTGCTTAGCTAAATGAATTGTGGGGTTCAGTCCCTCAGCCCATTATGTGCCTTTGTAACCCTTTCCACTACCGCCCACAAGATGGGTATGAGGTGCATAATAAATGAACTAAACTAACTAACTCCCCTCCCACTCCCTCATCTCCCCTCCCACGCCCTCGTCTCCCCCTCCCACTCCCTCATCTCCCCTCCTCCTCTCACACTGAAACCTCCGTGAAAAATGAGTACATTCTACTCCCCCTCCCTCTGGCCTAAACCCCCCCAAACATGCCTCTCATCTCCCTCCAGACCTCTTCAGCCTAAACATAAACCCACCTCTCCTCTTTCCCCAGTCTTTGTTAAACTCCTTCCCTCTCGCCACCTACTTCTCACACCCGTCCCTCTCTTAATACGTCATTTTCCCGTATTTTCCCGCGTCAGAGGAGAGGCTACCTCATTCTGTCTGCGTCGCTCGGAAACACTTTTTACAGTGATATTTACTGATGCAAAAGTTTGTAAGTGTTGTTGAGGTACATAATGTACCTCTCGGGCTGGTAATATTCTAAAATGTGTTTTGACGGTGCATAATGTGAGTAATTATGATTTGTATTGTGATGTTTTTACGTGTATATTTACATGTGTGTGTGCATATGCGTGTTTATGCATGTGCGTGTGTGTATATGTGTGTGCGTCCTGAGGAAGTCTGTTGGATCTCAGCTGTTTCCCCCCCCCCGTCCCCCCCACCAAGGCCGAGAGATGAAGGCTGGGGTAACAGGTGGTCGCTGCCGCCTCTCAGAAAAACTCCAAGCCAATTTTTTCCCCTGGTAGCTGTAGCGCTGGGAGGAGACGCCTATCTCAATCCTACCTCTCTCAGGAAGCGATCCCCCTCTCCCCCTCCTCCTCCTCCCCCAGCACTAAGCAGGTGGCACATCCTACCAAGATGGGCCCGTGAGAGACTGCTCGGAATATCTGGGAAGTAAAAACAGGCTGTGGCAACAGGGGTGTGTGTAGTCTTGGGGGGAGAGAGAGAGGAGGTGAAGTGAGTCCCAATCGTCAAGTGTCGGGCGCGGACCTCGCATCTGCCTCTCGCTCTCTCGTTCGCTCTCCAGTGATTACAACCCCCGAGATTCTCAGCAGTGATTTGTGTTCTTCCCATGTGTGATACGAGCGTGATTATTGCCCTAACTGGTGGCTGTGACCCATGTGTGTGTGTGTTGTGGTGGTAGTGTGAGACCAGCTATGTGCTGACATCGTATATATATATATATATATATATATATCATCGCCCTTGTTATCAAAAGCGCGCTCTGGCTAATTGGTCCGTTATCTTCACAAGACATCATAGCCTTCCGTGATTTTGTTTTGGGCCGTTATATGTCTGTGTTTTATCCTCGCTCAGGCATCGAGGATCAGAATGTGAGTATACGAGGCATTTGGGTGTTGTAGTTCAAAATAATACTTTCAGGTAGGCTATACAAAAAAATAATAATAATAAAGTAAGTTTATAATTATATATATATATATATAGTTATTATTACTTACAAGACATTACTTTGGGAATAGGCTATTCATCTTTAGCAAATATACGATTACTATAATTATTATAAATGATGTACTTACTAAACTTGTATAGCCTATCCCGAAAGCAATATTTTTGTAATCCACCATTATTCTTTTTTAATATTTAAAGGCTGATTAAAGAAATAATCGATTCTGATAACTTTGTTGACAGATTCATGCTAGGTTGAGAGAGTTGACGAAGTTTGAAGGAGGGATTTGAAGGAGGGTGGGGGGGGGGGGGTGATGGGATGCATGGGAGGCCTGGGACTATGGGGGGTTGGGGGCGCTGGGGGGGGGGTAGTGGGGGGGGTCACGGGACCGGTGGGAGGGAGCCCGAAGCCCTGCATATTAAGTTACCAACGGAAAGATTACAAATATTGGGAATCTGTAAGAAGCGTTAATGCAAAGAAGTGTGAATTATGTGGCATGCTAAAGTTTCTCAACCTGGCCCATTATGTTCTTGAGTGTCCGCTGATTGACGTGTGTGGGAACAACGAGGTGACGACCGTTGCTGAGGAAATAACATGCATGTGTCACAGAAGGAAGATTGTCCTTGAGATACATGATACATAAACTGGAGATACACACTGAATATACATACTTTTATAAATAAATTTTCGTTTTTTTTTTTTTTACAGCCATGTATTACTGCTTATGTCTGCATTTGTACTTATAATAGTATTTTTTAAGTATATGTGAATACGTTTTAAATAATGTGTACAAGAAAAAGTGTAAATGTTTATCACCCAGAATGTGAAATATGTCAATTGTTTGTGATGTCTGTGTAAATATACAGCCCATCCTCATAAACTGAAAGTACTCATAGTGAGTATGTGGGGCGGGAAGTACCAATATGTCGTGATGGACCACCAGAAAGTTCACTTTTGGGTTACCGAATTTGGACAAACCGGAAACTTTTTTTTATTAGGATCATGAATATAAAGCTTAACGTAACCTATCCTAGCAATCCTAGGCCTAATACATACTATCTTTGGCCTAATATAGAACAGCTTTGTTAAGCCTAGGAATATATGTTTGATTTTTAGCTATATTTTCCTGTACTATATTTTTTTTTTACACAAAAAGTGGGTGGCTGGTGGTCCATCACTACATATTGGTACTCTCGACCCATTACTTACAAAAAGTACTATCATTTCAGGAGTTGAGATATAGGAACACAGTACTGAACGGGGCGAGGATAGCTTGAGCTAACCTCAGCCCTTTGTGTGCTTATGTTCGTATTTTTAAAACCGTTCGAATTGACGAGAAGTTAATTGGGACTTTGTAATTCTCTTTTATTACCGTCGTGTAATGTTGGTATGTAGAACAGGTATTAAACACAGGTGTTATTGGGTAATGTCTGCTGTTTGTAAGTTACGACGTTTGTTTGTTGTTGGTAATCACTTCAGTGTACTAACTTGAATGAATTTAGGAGGGCAGAACCTTAGCTCCTGGGCTCCACCTTCCCAGCTGCTTATTATCTAATGTTTTTAATCTTTTTATGAGTTCAACTATTTTGTTCTGGTTCATTCCACTTTTCGTCTTACTTAAAATTCCTGTGTTCATTCTTTTATGCCTTCTTCATGCCTTCATTCCTTCGTACGGGTGTCCTTATAGTAACGAAGAGGACCATAGTGTATATATATATATATATATATATATATATATATATATATATATATATATATATATATATATATATCGACGTTCAACGAAATTAGTACGTAGAAATCTGGATTTTAATTTTCAATTTCAATTGAGTTCGACAAACCGGAAAACTATTTTCTACTTATGTTGCAAAGACAAACTACCCTAACCTAACCTCCGTAGGCCTAATATAGTACATATGTGTGCTATACTAGGCCTAGCAATATTTAAGCTTGTTTTTAGTTTAATTTTTGTCCAACTCTATAAAGTGAATAGTACAAAGTTCTACTATTTAATTGCTTAGAAAGTCAATCTTTGTACTATGTTACACATAGTTCTGTGTAAGTGAGTCTGAGTCCACACACTCAGAGGGAGCAGCATGGTTGTTCATGCAGGGAGTCAGCATGGTTGTTCATGCAGGGAGCAGCATGGTTGTTCATGCAGGGAGCAGCATGGTTGTTCATGCAGGGAGCAGCGTGGTTGTTCATGCAGGGAGCAGCGTGGATGTTCATGCAGGGAGCAGCGTGGATGTTCATGCAGGGAGCAGCGTGGTTCTTCATGCAGGGAACAGCGTGGTTGTTCATGCAGGGAGCAGCGTGGTTGTTCATGCAGGGAGCAGCGTGGATGTTCATGCAGGGAGCAGCATGGTTGTTCATGCAGGGAGCAGCATGGTTGTTCATGCAGGGAGCAGCGTGGTTGTTCATGCAGGGAGCAGCATGGTTGTTCATGCAGGGAGCAGCGTGGTTGTTCATGCAGGGAGCAGCGTGGTTGTTCATGCAGGGAGCAGCGTGGTTGTTCATGCAGGGAGAAACGTGGTTGTTCATGCAGGGAGCAGCGTGGATGTTCATGCAGGGAGCAGCATGGTTGTTCATGCAGGGAGCAGCGTGGATGTTCATGCAGGAAGCCAGCATGGTTGTTCATGCAGGGAGCAGCGTGGTTGTTCATGCAGGGAGCAGCATGGTTGTTTATGCAGGGGAGCAGCGTGGATGTTCATGCAGGAAGCCAGCATGGTTGTTCATGCAGGAAGCCAGCATGGTTGTTCATGCAGGGAGCAGCGTGGTTGTTCATGCAGGGAGCAGCATGGTTGTTCATGCAGGGAGCAGCGTGGATGTTCATGCAGGGAGCAGCGTGGTTGTTCATGCAGGGAGCAGCGTGGTTGTTCATGCAGGGAGCAGCGTGGATGTTCATGCAGGAAGCCAGCATGGTTGTTCATGCAGGGAGCAGCATGGTTGTTCATGCAGGGAGCAGCGTGGATGTTCATGCAGGGAGCAGCGTGGTTGTTCATGCAGGGAGTCAGCATGGTTGTTCATGCAGGAAGCCAGCATGGTTGTTCATGCAGGGAGCAGCGTGGTTGTTCATGCAGGGAGCAGCGTGGTTGTTCATGCAGGGAGTCAGCATGGTTGTTCATGCAGGAAGCCAGCATGGTTGTTCATGCAGGGAGCAGCGTGGTTGTTCATGCAGGGAGCAGCATGGTTGTTCATGCAGGGAGCAGCGTGGATGTTCATGCAGGAAGCCAGCATGGTTGTTCATGCAGGGAGCAGCGTGGTTGTTCATGCAGGGAGCCAGCATGGTTGTTCATGCAGGGAGTCAGCATGGTTGTTCATGCAGGAAGCCAGCATGGTTGTTCATGCAGGGAGCAGCATGGTTGTTCATGCAGGGAGCAGCATGGTTGTTCATGCAGGGAGTCAGCATGGTTTTTCATGCAGGAAGCCAGCATGGTTGTTCATGCAGGGAGCAGCATGGTTGTTCATGGAGGGAGCAGCATGGTTGTTCATGCAGGGAGCAGCGTGGATGTTCATGCAGGAAGCCAGCATGGTTGTTCATGCAGGGAGCAGCATGGTTGTTCATGCAGGGAGCAGCGTGGTTGTTCATGCAGGGAGCAGCGTGGTTGTTCATGCAGGGAGCCAGCATGGTTGTTCATGCAGGGAGTCAGCATGGTTGTTCATGCAGGAAGCCAGCATGGTTGTTCATGCAGGAAGCCAGCATGGTTGTTCATGCAGGAAGCCAGCATGGTTGTTCATGCAGGGAGTCAGCATGGATGTTCATGCAGGGAGCAGCGTGGATGTTCATGCAGGGAGCAGCGTGGTTGTTCATGCAGGGAGCCAGCATGGTTGTTCATGCAGGGAGTCAGCATGGTTGTTCATGCAGGAAGCCAGCATGGTTGTTCATGCAGGGAGCAGCATGGTTGTTCATGCAGGGAGCAGAATGGTTGTTCATGCAGGAAGCCAGCATGGTTGTTCATGCAGGGAGCAGCATGGTTGTTCATGTAGGGAGCAGCATGGTTGTTCTTGCAGGGAGTCAGCGTGGTTGTTCATGCAGGGAGCCAGCATGGTTGTTCATGCAGGGAGTCAGCATGGTTGTTCATGCAGGGAGCAGCGTGGATGTTCATGCAGGGAGTCAGCATGGCTGTTCATGCAGGGAGCAGCATGGTTGTTCATGCAGGGAGTCAGCATGGTTGTTCATGCAGGAAGCCAGCATGGTTGTTCATGCAGGGAGCCAGCATGGTTGTTCATGCAGGGAGCAGCATGGTTGTTCATGCAGGGAGCAGCATGGTTGTTCATGCAGGGAGCAGCGTGGTTGTTCATGCAGGGAGCCAGCGTGGTTGTTCATGCAGGTAGCAGCGTGGTTGTTCATGCAGGGAGCCAGCGTGGTTGTTCATGCAGGGAGCCAGCATGGTTGTTCACGTAGAGAACAGCATGGGTGTTCACGTAGGGAACAGCATGGTTGTTCATGCAGGGAGCAGCATGGTTGTTCATGCAGGGAGAAGCATGGTTGTTCATGCAGGGAGCCAGCATGGTTGTTCACGTAGGGAACAGCATGGTTGTTCACTTTGAGAACAGCATGGTTGTTCATGCAGGGAGCCAGCATGGTTGTTCATGCAGGGAGCAGCATGGTTGTTCATGGAGGGAGCAGCATAGTTGTTCAGACAGGTAATACATGCTAAATTATTACATACGTGATGTATTAAGTGTGGGAAGCCGCCTGGAGTGTTCCATTATGGTATCTGCCGCCGCCACCATGTTAGCGTTGTGGCCATGTCTACTCTTTAAGGTTGTGACCATGTCCACTCTCTAACGTTGTGACCATGTCCACTCTAACGTTGTGACCATGTCCACTCTCTAACGTTGTGACCATGTCCACTCTCTAACGTTGTGACCATGTCCACTCTCTAACGTTGTGACCATGTCCACTCTCTAACGTTGTGACCA